TCCCCCTTTTTGCATACATTTGCTGCAGACTTAGGATTGAATGTGGGCCTCTCGTGTAGAAAGCTCCCTGGTATAACAAACATCTTTAAGGTTCTACAGGTGGCACAGTTGGTGTCAACTTATGGTTAGAACAGGAAAGGAGCCAACAGGCAACATACCTTCATTTCTGAAATGTATGTTTCATGGGATAAACTAACATTGATGATGTTTATTAATATCTGACAAGAATCATAGAAATCGTCAATTGTTCAATAGAATTCAACAATTAAGTAAGTGAGCAAGTAACATTTTTCAAGTGGATTTAAATTATTTTGGCTCGGACTGTAGACTATAACCTGTAGCCTACATTTAACAAGGAAAGAACGTAAATCTGAATACGTCTATCTACAAGATAGAGTGTCTGTATTGACTTAATTAGTAAAGATCCATAGTCCATGTCACATAATTCCTATATGTCCCACTACAGAAACGGTTTAAAGTCCCACCAATACTTCTGTAACAATCAAACACTGGCCCCTATAAACAATGATAAATAAATGCCCTTATGTGAAGCAGCACTTACCCTGGATGAAATGGACTTTGGTTAGAGACCTAGAGGGGGGCAGACACTGGGGCAACCAGTTCAACCGTATATCAATGATATACCTACACAGTTATGTTATCATGCTGTCGCACATAATTATATTGTGAATCATGATCCGCTTTAGATGTTGTCACAAACCCCACCTAAGTTATAGTCACGATGACATCTTAGTACGCGTTTGGCAAAGGTCAAATGTAAAAGAAACATGTGACTAGTGACCATCAAACAGTGATGACAGGAGGTGTTTGCGAAATGCTAAAGTATTCTATCTTACCCAGGGCACCTGTCCCAAACTCAACAGGACCGCTACTGCTTGGGGCTTCAGAAAGATATACATTTATTTTCTTGAACTCAGTTTTTTTCCTTTAATCATATAACATTTGATAATCATGGAAATGATACAGAAAACTGTATGGTCAAAGTCTACTATAAATTCATGAAAATCCTTTACTGACATCTCTCTGTTAAAAGCACTGATGTAGTATATTCCCATATGTAGTCAATTCCATCTTTCACACTCAAGCTTACACTCAAGTTTCATTAGTAAAAAATATATTCATGCTGTCTCAGAAGAAAAGGTTGTTTGTTTCAAGCCTGTAATTCCATAGACTTCACCAAGTACAGCTGTTAGTACATATTCATAAACATTGATTCCTTAAGAAAATGTATGATGTTTTACAACAACAATTTCTGGCTTAACGCATACAGTGATACATGCTTGCACAGTTATCAAGCCGGACTGTCAACAACCATCGATAACAAGTACATGTGCGTATGTCATGACCATGGTGATAAGCAGCACCTTATTACTACAACAGGTAATAGATTAACAGGGGTGGTGGGGTAGACTTGTGGTTAAAGCGTTCACTCGTCAGGTGCAGGCCTTGATCCTTACTGAGGTGCAGGCCTTGCTCCTTACTGAGGTGCAGGCCTTGCTCCTTACTGAGGTGCAGGCCTTGATCCTTACTGAGGTACAGGCCTTGCTCCTTACTGAGGTGCAGGCCTTGATCCTTATTGGTGAGGTGAGGTGAAATTGGGTTTTACGTCGTGCTTGAGAATATTTCGCTCATATGACGACGTGCATGCGTGTGTATGTGTATGTGCGGCTGCTTGTACTAGCCCAGACTTAAGCTGGTTTTATAGTGCTAGCCCACTGAGATACCATGCTGCAGTGAAGCATGAATACCCCACTCAGACACATTATACTGACTCCGAGCCGACCAGTCCTTGTTGTACCCATTAATGCCGAGCGCCAGGCAGGGACCAACAAGTACCATATTTTAACGTCTTTTGGTATGACGCGGACGCTCTAACCACTACACTACGGAGGCGGTCTGATCCTTATTGAGGTGCAGGCCTTGCTCCTTATTGGTTTGCACGAATAGCATTGGAATACAAGAATCCAGCTAAACTGTAACTATGAATAATGACGTTAGTATTCACTGAATCTCAGTCTCCAGTTAACATTTAGGATTGAGATCATTCCAAATCACTCTTTTCCAGCATACTGCCATAGTCTCCATCATGTCCATACTTGGGTCGCCTAGTGGTTAAAGCGTTTGCTTTCCTCGGTTTGCTTCCCCACATGGGTACAATGTGTGAAGCCCATTTCTGGTGTCCCCGCCGTTATATTGCTGGAATATTGCTAAAAGCAGCAAAACTTAAGTCAGTCACTCATGTCAATACTGCTTTGTACACTGATGCACAGGCAGTTGTTTTTTATTTGGAGATCAGCATTTCACCCAAATATTTGCTGGTTCACAAACAAATTTGATGGTTCAAATATTTCATGAATAGGTATAAAGACACCTTGAAAACAGCCCATGACTGGTAGTAACACAACTGACTTGTCATACTTTCATGTGGTTATGATCGTATATATTACAGAACAAAAAGGTTAGGGATCATGATTATTAAAAGGACATATTATATTTGAATGAAAACTGATTCCACAAAAATGTTTCATCAGTTATCCATGATTGACTGACTTAAGGTCTTTGACTTCAGACACTTGTCCATAGTTCCAATCTAATGTTGCTCCATCTTTCATGTTCAGCTGATAACATTCAGTGTTACACTGAAGTCAGTAACGAGCCAAGTAAGGAAATTGGACTCAGGTTTTATGCACAGATCAGAACGTCTGTAAGTGTTACTAGGGACCATAAAAATTGCAAAAATCAGCAAATTGAAAATGCCTAATATTCCACTCGTGAATGAAACGTTTGTTTACGGAAGCCATTTGCAATCATCACCCATTCGTGTGCCCACAAAATGTGACATCACCTTGTTTCGTGGATTACGTAGTCGGTTACTTTATACCACTATGTACAACATCACACTGCAGTAAGTATTGACACCAAGGGAAGCAGACAACAAGAAGTGAGAATGTTGGAGCTAACGGTATCTTTTTTAATTGAAATTTTGTAAAATTTGGTAATGGTGGTATTAGTGATTTGGGCCTATCTCAATGCTGGACAATTACATTTAGAGTACTTGCGTGTAATGCAGAGATTCGGAACTTTTTTGTCAGCGAGGCATGGCATTGTATGTATATCCAAAAGTACCGCTTCGTGACGTCAGTCGAGACTTAATTTACGAGCTAGGTTGATAATATTTGCGATCCACGAATCAAGGTTATCCACGATTTTAGGTTACGCTTCTGTACTTTAAGGTCTCTTATGGTAATTTATGCTGTCATGTTTTGAAAGTGCTCTGGCTCAATTCAGAACAAATACAAAAATGCTGCCAACCTTTATAAACTGTACAAATCCAGTGTCACGGTCACAGGAACAATATACCCTTAACGCCCCCGTAGGTTGTGTCAGTGCTGGGCATATTGAACTTCCATAATGTCAGCATTTTCTGGAGGGGTGTTTTATTTCACTCAATTGATTCAATTATCTCTTGTGTTTTACAAGTTGTATTGGGACACATTAATGGGACACGTTAATTAGCTTTCAACTCTAGACAGGATTCAGGGTTTGAAACATATTTTTGCTTGTCTGCGAATGATCACGATCGGGAAAAGTGACATTTACATAGTCTTGCTGATCAACAGATTTAAACATCATTGTGTTTTGGGTCTTCAGACACTTAAGAACATCTACTGTTGTCTCGATTATCACATGAATTGTAAAACGTCACTAGCTTATAAAAGATAACTCAATCCTAAACACATCATTCAAGAATTTACAACACCCCTTGTTACAGCTTGAGTGAGCATGTCTGTCCGAAAATGTATGACGTTCGAAAACCTTTGATCTGACAATACAATTAGGGAGATGGAAAAAAAGTTTTGGGAGACAAATGTTCAAAAGAGGAAATAAGTTTCTAACCCAAAATCAAGTTAATTTTTTTAAAGCATATTTCTGTAATAAAATGGGTGGAACACACTAAGGCTGTAACGATTCACTCGCATATTCGGTGAATCGAACCGTAGCCCTTCGTGAATTCAATTCGTTATTCGTGGTCACCAGAACCGAATATTAACGAATATTTACGATTTTTTAAGGGAGCATGTTTTACTTGAACCCTTGTGTACTTTTGGAAAGTGAGATATGCAAGAATTGAATATGTACTAGTCTTGAGTAGCGCAAGTCATGTTAGTTTGCCAAGACTGCACATGGTTCTGTCGATTATAACTATTACATACCAAATTTGAGTGTCATGAGATCACTGGTTATTGCCAGCATGCTGTGACAAATCAAAACTGTCAACATGGACGTTCCATATTGTACATCAATCACTTAAGTACAATATTGTATTCGTGAATAATTATTCGTATTCGTTACTCACTATTCATGATAAGTATCATTTTCGCCACATAGTGTATTCGTTGCAGCCCTAGAACACACACACCCACCCTCCCTCCCCGCCCCAGAGCCATAAATTATGAACGGTCCCTTCATCAGAACTGAGGCTGGGGACAGAAGTTTACCCGACATATCTTTTGCTTATCCAAGTATTTACGTATTATGTGAAAAACTATCATACAAAGGTCCTATCTGAAACATTTATCCCTAAAACATATCTAGGGGCGCAGTCCTGGCAATGTCAAACCAAACTTGGCTTAAAAACTGATGACAACTAGATCTAAACATATCTAAATTTCAAATGTAAAGTCACAACAGCAGGCCCACGCGCTGGCATAATTCCATCACATACATACTTGAGCAATTTAAATAAATAAGGTTTTGAGTAGGTTAAATTGTTCATCAGTTTATACATTTAATATTCACACATCATATGTGACGAATTCTCAAAAACACACAAAAATATTATGGCAAGGACTAGGAGGCGTGACCCTGACGTACGGGACTCTCCACGTTTAAGATGTGAACACGTGTAGTTCTGGTTGGACGAAGCCAACGAGTCCATCTTTTTAAGGAGATAATTAATCAAATAGATAATACAATACCTTGAATCACTGATACTTTTCTGAGTCGCAGAATATTCTCACACCTTTAGCTGCAAAATCTCAGGCGTGTGACGGCTTCTTGACCTAACCGCTGGACACTGAAAGTGAAAGATTTGCTCTATCTTTCCGTGGGAAAGTAGTTATGAAATGGATAACTGTTTGAGAAAACGACTCCTGTATTCGATGAAACCAAAATGGGAAATATTTTCTGTCAAAAACCTGGAAACATGAAATTGTTCACTCACACGACGAAATAAACAAAAATTATGTAGAGCCTCCTTCACCCGCCAATAATAACTTTGCTTTCATTGGTTACTGCGATTCGCATTCGCCAATCATTATAGTGAAAATCATCAATGGGGTTATTCCCACACAGTCTATTTTGCGCGTAGGGTGTAAGGCTGTTGATCTGTCAATTAATGTTTGATGGTCGATGTGTTCTGTCATATATTTACCAGTTAACAAACCTGAAACATAAATGATGTATACGTTAACAATGTTTGGGTATTTAGTTTATTTACAAATGAATGACATCTATTTTCTTTTACAACGTCAACAACCTGTCTTCCCTCATGTGTTTGGTGCGTCTATCGTACGATACAGGGAAACTCATTTGCTCTCTAGATTCTAGTTACGTTGGTGGTGTTTATAGTATGGTGATGCATCACAGACACGTGGAATCGTACGATAGTGACGACCAATGATGCCAATGTGATGTGCCAAACCATTTCATTCTTATGTATGACAATTTCTTTGAAACAAAGAATTTATCCCGAAACAAATAATTTGCACAATGGAAAATATATGTGTTGATACATATATATATGGATAAATAGAAGTAAAAAATGTCCAGGTTTTTGTCATTGTACTTTAATTCATATGCATCAAACCTGTACTGTGGGAAGAATTTGAACTTCATTTGCTAATTATCAAAATTACTTCACCTTAATAATCATCTAGAAGACCCTAATAATCAGATGAAATATTTGTTTCCCATTGTGTGTTGGCAAGCTTTAAGAAACCTATAAATGACAGCTGAAATATTCATAGCTTTATTGGTACTCCATGCATAAACGTGATGAAAATGTAGTACAGTTATACATTCCTGTCACATTTCAGGAAAATGCACACAGAATACAGAGAATTTGAATTTGAATTTTTCCTATTCTCATGACACTAAACTTAAAAAAGATAACTGAATTATTATCTTTGTCAGACACCCTGCAGTGATTTGTCATATGTTTTTCATTTTATGGTCGCAATGACATATCTGTGATGTTGATGCATGAACAACTTGCTCATCTGATAATGACCTTAGCATGTGTGATTTTAACAGTGATTATGTCAAATAGTTTTGCTAAGCAGTTATCAACTATAAAAACTAACACCAGGAAACACTGAAATAACATCATGCAGTTCATCCTGTGGAATTCCTTTAAGTACGGCATATTAGGCTGAAACATGGATATAAATATACCATAGAACCTAGTTGATTTCATACAGATTTTGTCTTGACATGAATTATGTATATTATGTATATATTCATTTTTAATTACTTAATGCTCTTTGAAAAAGATATTTATTCCATGAGTCAACAAGTTGTCAGTGGATGCAATAAACACCAATGCAACATAAATAACTATGAACCATGTATTAGATAACAGCTTATCAATCGGCTGACTTAATGAGGGTAGATTGATCAGGTGTCAAATGATCCTGTTAGTGTAGGACTGATGACTGACTGTAGGGTCATGGGAACTGACAGTGTTCTACAAGTGCAGAGGATGTTTCATGTGTACTTCAAGAACTCCCACCTTGTACATTACATAATGTTATGACTTACATCCAAGTAAATATGTTTATTACACCAAAGTTGTCAAGATGGGGCAGGGAATGATGTGCTGTTTGCCTTAGGGCAAGACAGAACACAGGGAGTAACAGCCTTGTGTTCAAGGTAGCAAGGGAAAAGGGATCCTTACACTTCTTATCATTAGAGGAGGTAGTAGTGTTCACATATACATAAAACCAGATGATGATATTTTCTAAAACCTAAACATGTGTTTCTGCTAAAAAAGGAAAGCAAACAAAGCATCTTTAGCTGCAAATTTTTGTCAGATATTGAATTTATGTAAATTTCTCACCGAGAAACATAGTTAAAATTACTCTGGCCAAACATAACTGAAATCCCAAGTCCCATTATTCCAATGTGTAGTGTATCTTTCTTTGTTGTATTTGTCGGTCCTGCTGCTGGTGTAATGTAACACCAAATGTCACAACACAGAGAGAGATACTTTACATCTGTCATTTGCAACACCTGTTGTTAGCGTGTAGAATAGCCGCACCTGTGAACGCTGTGAAAACCAACTTTATAACATCCATCAATGTGTATATCTCGTGATGAAATTTTGCAGAGTATAATGGTTGTCATAAAGTCATCAAACTTAATTGGTTACCACATATTATTAGAGCTGTGCTTGTTCATCAGTGTTACAATGCAGTATAACCCAATACTTGTTTACCTCTGACATGACATACTGCTCCGTGGATGTGGTGCAATATGTCAGCATGCAGAATGCCAAGGGGGTTATACAACATATGTAGAATGAGATGAAGTGACATAATTATTTTCATGGGCTTTGCATGAGTTGCCAATACTAGATTTGAACCTTTAGCTCTGTTATGAAATGATGGAGCACATCAGTATGACAATGAAGTTCCATTTGCATTTTGCAGCTGATACATCCACTCCTAACAATCTAGAAATTCAGAGCCGATGTTTCTGCATGGTGTTCATATCCCTGTCAAGAAGGAACAAAGTAATTTCAGGAAAGGAATATATCATTTATTTACAATGTTTCCAGCACATCATAAAGCACATCTGCAAGGAAGCAATAGCATGGATCTACCAAGTCACCAGTAGTATTGTTGTAAATGCAGAGGACAAAAGTCAACTGGATAAAAGGAGTCTCACTCGTCCGCATCATTTTAATGTTGCAGATCTCACATTATAGACCTTCAGTGGATTCACCTTACAAGTTTCAAAATGCCAAGGTGACACCAAAGACTACACTAAGTCAAATCAAGAATATCAGGCTCTGCAGCTCACCTTCTCAAATCTGTAAGAAGAGGAAGGAAGAGGCATCTGAGTACAAATTCCAATACTGTTGAAACTGACTGAATACTAAACACACATATTATATGAAAGGCTCATATGTTGCCATATAGACCTTGACCAATATCTTAAGGATGATTTCACCAACCCTGAGAGAGAGTAAATGATATTTTATGCCACTGCCAGCAATATTCCGACTGCATCAATGCAGACTGTAAATAATTGGGCTTTGGCCAGGCAAACAATTGGCAATAAATAGCAGCAATCCACAACACAAGGGTACAACAACACGCACTCAGTCCACACATACACATGCACATGCACACGCACGCATACGCACGCAACAAACCTGCACAAATACTGGTGGGATCGACCATGAAACATGTCAACTTCCTTGACCTTAATATTCAGCAAAAGATGTCCTGAAGGAAATTTACTACTGTATATTACCAAAGTGAAACTGTAATAAAAATATATTGAAATACTAATTATGTCATTTATCTTCAGTTCAGATGAACTAGAAGTACAGAATCAATGTGACTTTCACGCCAGGTCTAAGTATACACTCAGTTTCAGCCTGATGAATTGAATGGACCTTCCAGAAAGACATACATTTGAAATGTATAGCCAGTGATAACAGATCTTCCTTCAAGATGACGAAATTACACTTTCCCTGAAAGAAGTATGTCTACAGTATTGTCCTAGTAATTTATCTTACCTCACACATAAATGTCGTTTTCTGATTGGCTGAGCACTCACCTATGATTTTCAATGTACCCCGCTTACAAGCGAGTAACATTTCAATGTACCCCGCTGTCAATGGCAAGTCATTTGGTACTTTTTTGGTAGTAATTCTTTATCTTGAATAACATTGAATCACGTATGATGTATGGAAATTACTAATGTTTTGCGAATGCAAATTGATGGAAGGAAGATAACTCTAAATCTGTTTTTCTTGTCAGCAAAATCTAGCGATGGCTACAAAAAGATTTATACCCGTGCTTCAAACAATTCAAAATTAACATTGAGGTGTTCGGTAAGATAAATACGTTGTTCACTGGTCCCTCGGGGCCCATGGGTTGATGTACCCTCGATGTTTGTTTATGTAACATGCCCCCCCTCGTGACCAGTGAACAACCTATAATGTACCATGCTTATACAGCTGATAAAATGGAAGTGTACACATCCTTAATAAGTTAATCAACATCCATTGCTTATCAAAAACAGAGATTTACAATGACACCAACTTTGATGAAATCAATACATCAACAATATGAATAAGTTTTCATTTGTTTCATTATCACCCTTCCCAAATATGACTTGAGTTTACAACCCAATAACCTCACCAGGTCAGTTGAACATATTCCATAATATCCATAATACATTACACAATACATAAAGAAGAGAATACACATAACATCTACATTACATGGAAAATCAATTACAATTTATATCATACCCCAAGAAAAAATATGTTTATCCTTAAACATGTTTAATGGGTCAGAGGTGTAATTTTTGTTTGAATGACAATATGCCCCCATATAATAAGTATTTGTTAAAACATCATGACAAATATTCTCATTATTTTTGGACAAGACCAAATATTTCCAAAGGACATGGTTAATGTTTCACTACCAGTAAGTCATTGAAACGGCTACAGCCATAAAATACTCTTTATTGAAGAAATTGGTTTCAAGGTAGCAAAGCTAGAATTACAAGTATCATTTGAATGATCATCACAGCCAAATGCTTGGCACAATAAAGGGAACACAGGTATCACGATTCACAATGGTACACTCACTCATTCACTCACAAAACTGGGAACCATGAATTATTGGAGAAATATGTACAGATAGCACATTGGGTAGGTACATGTATTACAAGAAGTATACATTTGAGTCTGACAGGGGACTAGGCAAACTGATTTCTGGTAGTACAGAGACAAATATCTACAGAATACTACAGTTATAATGGACTCAACGGGACCACTCATTGTAGGTCCCCATAACAGTAGTTTGTTACATGCCTTTCAACTCTTCTTTGTTTGTTGTTGTTTATCGCTGGACTCAGCAATTTTCCAGGTATATGACAGTGGTCTGTAGGTAAGTCTGGACCAAACAATCCAGTGATTGGCTTTTCAAACTAAAATATACAGCAAGTGGTATGGACCACAGAAAAAACCAAGTTCATTATACCTTCAGCTCATTGTAAGCATCCTAGCATGATATAAACATAGTTTATTGTATTTTGAAGTTCTCAACTGGAGACACCGAAGCTAGTTTCATAACAACAGGCTTCCATGTTGTAAATAATCACAAGAGCATGGTATTATTGGAGTCTGAAGAGATACTATATATCACTGTAGCCCTCGTGTGGAAACAACATGTTTCAGCTGCAACGATTATACTTAGGTCAGATGTTTTACACTCATGCCCTTTATATACAGTTGAAAGAAGTCTAGTAAACCAGTATATTGAACTTTTGGGTAACTTCAGTAATGTCACTAACAGAAAAGGGATGGGTTAATTTATGCAGGTGTCTAACAATGGACTAAATCTTCATTTATATACTCAAAAATAAGCATGTAAATATATACAATGTTGTATGACATAAACATGTAATGTGGCAATATTCTATGGTGCACAAGTAATACAGTCTATAATCTATAGGTCTGTCCACGAATACTAAACTATGTGGTTTTCTTTTGTAATTGTTATACCTTTAATACATAACTTTGATTGTTCATTACAAAAATACTTTAATAAAGAAACATAGAGAGAAGGTATTTTGAAAACACCTGAATTGTGAAAGCCAGCACTTCACCACAGGGACCTCGGCACCAGCATAAACAGGAATTCTTTTTACTTCTCAAAATATTTCAAATTTCTATTCATTAGTTTAGCGCCGTAAATAAAGAATGTCTGCATTCAGGTTTGCATTTATTATTTCATTTATGGAAAGGTCAGCTAGAAATTTCAGAAATTTGCAACAAAAATAAATATATTTTTATCTCCTGAGTCTGACTCATAGGACAAGAACAAATTCCATATTAAGAATAACTACTCCAAAGTAGATGTTCAAGTGACATAATGATAACCAAAGAAATATATAACAAAGTCACTTAAAAGATAATAGTTTAGACTGATATACTACAGACACTCAATCAGCTGTTAATATCACTATACTCTAACTACCGGGTCCATGATTTGGGTGAAGGAGATATTGTCTATGCTATTTTCAGTCCTGGTGTTGTCAAGAATGGAAGTGACTCTTGTTAAACAGGGACACTCTATTTATTCACTTACTCAGGAATTTGCCAAAATATAACAGAAAATGTAGGACTGAGTGAAATGTCATGCAACATATGAGCTAATTTAATGTGTTAAACCAGCTATCAAGTCTTGACCATATAAAATCAGTGACTGAAGAAGTAAGCATGTTCCAATATCTGTCCTAGAGACAAGCCCATTAAATCAATGTTACAGATATTTCGCAACCTAAACTGGTGGTGTGCCCAACATCTACTGATCCTACAAGTGTGACGATGGATGCTTGTCAGCACACAGAACACTGAATGAGCACATGTGAGAGTGAAGGAGCTCATTTTCAGGCCACTTTGAACATTATTCCAGTAATATCAGTTTAATGTGGGAGAAAAGCCCAATCTTAGGGACTGTTCATAATTCATGGCTAGGGGAGGTGGTGATGATTTTTATGGATAATTTATGTACAAAGTGACACACACACATCCTAGCATGTCAAGTACAAAACTAATGACACCCCGCCCAGTACATGTGTACAAAATTTATGACCCCATCCTACCTCCCCAGAACAAAATGGGTGACCCCCTTTAAAATTGTCATCCCCCTGCTAGCCATAAATTCTGAATGGTCCCTTAGGTGAGGCTTAGGCATTTACCACTGGGTAAAACCCAAGGACATAGGTATGTTCCTGATCAACCTCAAAACATAACCAAGGCATACCATTATTTGAACCCACATTAGTTGGTTTCTGGCTTGCCCAAGGGAAGCAACTCTGCACAACAGAATTGTGATGCCTCAGACAACAGGGGCGCGTTGTTTAGCCGATACGCTGTGCAGCGCTGCGCTTCTATTGGCTGAACAACGCCTCGCTGCATGCATCGCAGCGCTTCGGCGTGCAGCGACGGAGAGAGGTGCTTCCTGCGTAAGCGAGAGACATTCAAAATGGCGTCACGGCATGTCATTCTGCAAGGTAACAGAGAAAACTTGTCTGCTCTTCTGTGACCAATAGGGACAAGTTTTTAATGTTGCGCATACAATTCAAAATCATTGCATGGAATATCTTCTACAGCTTCGTGTGCCAAAAGTGTGGCTAGTATCGGTGATGTGTTTATATTGGACGACGCCATATTGAATGAAGCGCTCACACAGCAGTCCGTTGCACGGGAAAGCAGGCAGCGTAGCGCAGCTAAGCTTGCAAACTTTTGCTGAACAACGCGCCCCAGTTACTGGGCCACCCATGGATTAGCATGACACAAGGGACATAACTCTTGTCAAACTAGTTGAAGTACTTCCTTGTCCCAAATCTTATTTTCAGGAGTTGTTAAGAAAAGAGCAGATTCAGCTTCTATGCATCTAGGAGAATTATTAGAATATGTAAGTGTCAATATGACTATCTCATATGTAGAGTAATCACGAATACACACAAACATACAGATTTAGTTGACAGTGACAACAACTTCTAAACAACGTCAATACATTATTGTACATACATAAAATAATCACATAAGCTGGAAAAACGGTAATAAAAAAATACAGAATTATGATAGCTGAATAGTTCAAAATGGTTTGTTGATATTTAGCATGTACAATTTACCATCCAGTCCAAGCTTCATAAGAAAGATGCACAGATCTCACCTTTCTTTAGGTGATAAAGATATGTCCATGGCATAACTGTGTATAGCATCTACATGATATTTAATACATTTGATCTATACTGACACACTACTGATTTTCATGTATATGTACCCTTACAATCATCGCCAATTCCATGGTACACTGTTTCTATAATACTTCCAAAACATTTCTCCCTCTGGTGGTATTCATATAATTTCACTTGGATATCTGTCAAAGTTGTCACCCTCAATCTTCACTTCCAAAACTGGACATTGAAAGGTTGTCCACATTCCACAAGAACAATACATACTTTCAAACTATGCAAATATACAAAGAAAATAGAACAATTTAGGTGAATTTTCCCATATCAATTTCAAACCTAATGATCACTATAAATGGTTATGGTTTGTATTTGCACACACACACACTATAAACTCAATCAGATAATATCTTGTTCCACAAGGGATAGTAATCAGGTATACTTGAAAGTCTTTCAACTGGAGTCGACATGAGATTGAACGTTTAATGTGGCAGTGATTTCCAACGGACTGTAAAAATGTAACAGCCAAATGAACGGAATATTGCACATAATTGTCAGTCTCAAAAAAACACACAACTAATACTGGTAAACATCTTCATACAATCTCTTGTATATAAGAATTGTAATGAGCACTCTAACAGGTCTTTGATTGGACATACACCAAGAAATCGACATAAATATATCTAGTGCTATAGCTGTGCTCAAACCTGGTGCGAAATGTCTGTTTCTGAGCATTTCATGAGAACATACTCTACTGTTTCATGTTCATTCTGAAGTTTCTAAACCAAAGTTCATTTCACTTATGTGACAGCTTCAACAGGACATCACAATAGCATCAAGCAACATCTTCATCAGATCCAGGTCCAGTGTCAATGTTGCGAGCCAACATGTAGTTGTCCATATCGATGGAGCGGCAGTTGTTGATGGCATAGCGGAGTTTCTCTGCTAGCATCTCTTGGCTGCTGTACACAGGGAGCCGCAGCTGGAAGAAACATGTCTGTGAAGTGGGCAGGCTGTCTACTCCCTGCAACACCAACAACAACACAATATTACACCAGACCAGTCAGTGCAACAGGTCATTTCCCTCTAGTATTGATTGATGGAGGAATGAATTAATATTGTTATGATACAGATCACAAGAATGAGTCAGGTAAGTGGTAAGTTAGACTCTCACCCTATCCGAGGTCATAATCTGGAAGCGCTGTGTAATGTCAGCAGGGTTTGTTGGAAGACGACTTCGTCCAGATATAAAGCGGAGAAACTGGATCCTCTCTTCATTGGTGAAGGCCTCAAGAACATCCCAGAACCATTGAATGATAATGTGGCACTCATCTATTCCTCTATACCTGATGCCCAAAATAAAGCAGGAACTTCAAGTACATCACAATTTTCTATTTTCTTAGACTTTCATTAAAGCAAATATTTCACACCCATAAAACTTAATTAGCATATATTAGTTTAAAATAAGTTACATTACATCAAATTACATATATAAACCTTTCAAAACAAAAGAAAATATCTTATTTTGTATCCTATCAGTTATGTCTGACAATGTTAGTGGAGCCCAGACCTGACGACTTTGCGCAGTACATCAATAGACACCTCTGCAGTCCCGCACACAAACTGTTCGAGTGTCTGAGCTGTCAGGAGAGATATCAGTGGGACTGGGATGATCCATGACATCCCTTCTCTTATGGCTGCAGCCTGAGCAACAACAACATGCATACTTTGTATCACAACTGGATAAACAAATACTGTATGTGGGACAACCTTTTATTTTATGTATTAGATTTTGGTTAGGTTACAAAGGAATTCAACACATGTATGCTGCTCTAATCCAGTTTTCTGTCAATCTATATAGGTATCCCCTATCATACTATTTTAACCTGATATTTATTGCAATAAGCATACCTGTATAAGCTAATCATTCTTTAAAAAAGCATGATTCCAAACCACACAAATTTTTCCTATATTCCTAGTCTAAGACAAAATTGAAAATTTTAACTATAAATTGTATATTTATATACATATCATATCTCACGGTATGCACTTCTCTCTCTTCTTCGACCAAAGCATGGAAACGTGCTGTAGGCTAAGTTGAATCAAATCTTCTTGGCCTCTGTCCCACCTGACTTCTCCCCTCACTCCGATTGCTGGACCTGTCAATCATCTCTGTAAGCGTGCTAAGCGCTCAGAGATGGTCACGTGACATCCCACTACTGTCATTCTCATCTTGGAGCTTTAAGCAATCTGTGATGTGGGGAAGGTCGTGTGGGAATCCATCAGATGATTCAGTGAACTCTGACAGTTCAGTGAACACTGTCAGATCAGCGAATGCTGTTGGAGCAGCGATCTGGTATGGTTCGGAGACCAGGATCGGTTCTGAGACCTAGGTTGGTTCGACGATCTGGATCGGATAGGTGATCTGGTTCGGTGAGAGAATATCTGGAATCATACTGTAATCCGGTTCGGTTAAGTGATCTTGTTTGGGAAGCTGATCCGGTTCGGCCGCGTGATCTAAATTGCTGAGTCAAATGGGACCGGTGCAGTCATCTAAAACGTACTGGACTGAAAATATGTTTCAATCGAAAAACAGTTCACTAGGTTGAAGCGTTGTTCCAATCGAAAATAGAGCACTGGTCTGAAGCGTTGATCCAATCGAAAAGGCATACTGGCTCAAGTGTTGATCCAATCGAAAGCAGCGCACTGGGCTAAAGAGTTTGACTGAACGAGAGCGGTGAACTGAAGTGAAATGGTGCAATGGCCTCTTCTTCCTTTTGTGAGTGAGTGAGTATGGTTTTACGCCGCTTTTATCAATATTCCAGCAATATCACGGCGGGGGACACCAGAAATGGGCTTCACACATTGCACCCATGGGGAATCGAACCCGGGTCTTCAGCATGTCGAGCGGACGCTTTAACCATTAGGCTACCCCACCGCCCCCTCTTCCTTTTGTGAGAGCGATGCACTGGTACAAAGCGCCGGACCGAACTGAAGCGGCGCACTGGCCTGCAGTGACGAACCAACGGAAAACGCCCACACTAACAGGGATTGTTGAACTTGATATCATCACTGGAGTTGGAGGGATCGCCGTAGACAAGCTCGTACTTCAATAAATCATTGTAGGGAAGTTAGAGACACATTGCTAGTAGGGGCTGACAATGCCGTATCAGGTGTTTGAGAAAAAGTCACTAGAACTGTCAATCGGGACTGTGATGGCGAAGTTCACTACCGGAGTGGGGGAGTCATCCTGGAGAGATACTGGATCAGTGGCAGAAAAATACTTCTGTAATTGCCACAGTGTTATCTCTTCCGGGGAAGATCGATTACTTGTCCCATAATGAAGAGTAGAGACGAGTGGCAGACAGAGCATAACACACATCCACACCAGTGGGCGACAAGAAAGAGAATGACAGTAATGGGATGTCACATGACCATTTGAGAGTTTAGCACGCTTACATAGATGACTCACAGGTCCAGCAATCGGAGTGAGGGGAGAGGTCAGGTGGGACAGAGGCCAAGAAGATTTGATTGAACTTAGCCTACAGCACAGTTCCATGCTTTGGTCGAAGAAGAGAGAGAAGTGCAGACCGTAAGATAGGATAAGTTTAAAAATTGTCAAAGTTTTGCTTTCTGTCAAGTCCAACATGCTTCATGCATCATATCTAAGAAGCATCTATCATTATTATGTTTTCTCTCAAAATAAATCGCAGTAACTGATAACCTTTTTTTTTCACTGCTTGCCCTCGCCCAGACTACTCACTTGTTTGTCCATCTCATGGAGCCTGTGCTGCAGAACACGCTCCACATATTCCTTGCGGTTGTGGAAGTGGAGGGGGATGTTGAAGCCTCCAGTCACAACGGCAACCATTCTTTGATCACAACTCTGACCCTCAAAGCAGTCAATAGGGATGAACTATGAACAAGGCAAAATAGATAACAATCAATGAGTTTGGCTGTATGTAGACTTACATCTAGTCTTGGAAATGAATATATTTTACAGAAAAACAGTTCCTAAATTATATTCATAAAATGTAATAAAATGGAGAAGAAAGACTTTATATATTTTCAGAGAGTAAACAAATCTGCAGAGCAATAATTGCTTGAAATTAGACAAAACAGGTAAAAGATTTTATCACCCATCACATACATGCTATTGAACGTGTGTGCACCACCACCTCTCCCCTAAGACACACCCTCCCATTACAAGGTCATGAATGTTACTGTTCATTCTTACCCCTATGTTATATCATCAAAGGCTTATTCATATAGGTCTTTATGCATTCATTCTACCATGAAGTTGGAAATAACTCAATTCCAACTTGTCAGTCAGATGATTTGATGGCCAAGTCACAATAATATGATTTGAGTGTTGACAGTGTTATAAATTCTTTAAGGCAAATATCAGTGTTTCCTTAATACACTAAACAAATAAATCAAAACACAATACTGATCCCATGCCACTCCACTTCACATTTAATCATGTCATCTTCTACTTATGCATTTGAAATATCATTCTAAAATGGCTCATTTGAAACTAAAATAAGAGGTATCTAAGCTACAGAGAGGCTACCTCAAATTTCAAAACTCTGCAGTTTTATCTGCTAATGACCAAATACTGTACGGCAGTCCTGCTTTGTGATGTCAGAATTTCGTTAGTCATTATATTTGTTGTGTCCTCACCTCATGGAAGTTGGTTTCATTAACACCATTCTCCTGGATATCCTGGATGCCCCGCAGACTCTGGATGTACAAGTGGTCCACCTGGCACACAACAGAAGCACACTTTTTATTGCTTTGTTTCTGTTAATAAACCTTAATTCAATTTCCAGCATTTAAATAGTACTAATAATGTGTCCATACATTTATGCTTCAGTATTTCTGGAGTGTGCCATGCTACAGTAATTAATCTCAACTAATATAACACATAGCAAGACATTGGGAATAATGTAAGGGAATAAGATTAAACATCACAATGACTGTCTCAGTTAATCACCATCACAACCTCCATGACATTTAAGTACAAGACCTAATATTTATTTCTATGAGATTTGTAAGGAAAGTACAACAGAGTGTGACTGAACCAACCTCTTCCATGTCCTCCACCTTAAGTGGCATGCCAGCAATGAGCTTCCACACACATGGGGCCAAGTGGAGGTCGAGGGGCTTCTTGGTTCGTACTGCCACTCCAAACAAGATACCCAGGAAGCGGAACAGGACCATGTTCTCCTCCGATGTCAAGGAAGGGTTCAGCAGGAATCTAAACATAGCATCATGTAACTTTAGGGCAACTGCTAGTTTGATATACATTACATTAAGTGTGAGCTAGCAAAACAATAAAGTGTTTATAACAACTTGTAATGAATGGCTAGAACTTTCAACTGGCTGTGCCCACATTCCCTATACATAGGTTACCTGTCTCTGTTGTTTCCGGACTCATTCCTGGCATTTGGTGTAGGGATCAGTAGTGGAACAACTCCAGACTCCAACTCCTATTGGGGAAGGACAGAGATCAACATCAGATGACCAATAACAACCTGACACATTGCAATAAATAACAAGTCTCTATTCTTTACTGTACATAAATGTTTAACCAATCTGTCAATATATTATTTCATTGGTGAATATCCTTGACAACATGTATGTATGGAGGTAGAATAATTCATAATAAATTTTAAATGAATCGATGTCTGATGAATAAACGGATTAGAAAATAAAGGCCCAAATCACAACTTCTGACTATGTATGGATTTCCCATACCATGTTTCCCATACCAATATTCAACACAATACATGTCCTCACCATGCACATTTCTGTGATAGTGTCATCGAACACACCCCCAGCATCATCTGCACCTTCTCCTATCAGCTTCACCTTCCAGGCATGAGCTGGCAGTCGCAGTTCCTCAGGACGCAGCTTCACAACCTGCTGGGCAATCTGCACATACACGGGACGACACTTCTTCCCCCTGGCAGCAGAATTGTGTTTAGAATCATAGCAAAGTAGGCAAATAACACTTATTGTCGTGATTATTCCAATGTAAAGCATATCATGGTATCATAAGAGTGAGTGAATGAGTCAGTTAGTCAGCTTACTGTGGGAGTAAAACACTAAGTGATTTAGCACTTGTGTGAAAAATAAGAGTTTGTATTTGGTGCTGCTAATCCTAGAAACAATTAGATGGAATTTGAAACCACGATTCTAAGGGAATGTTTAGAAATACCTTGTTGAGAGTCTCTTCACTGTTATCTGAGGCCTGCATGTGTTGCCGAGAGACATCGTCTTGCCTATAGATCTCACCATGGGCAGTGTGTACACACGAGGTGACAAAATTGGGCGAAGTCGGCCATCCATGATGCCAGAAATACCAGCATCAAAACTGTTTAATTCCTGGGACAGATAAAATAGACAATATTTCAAGGAAGATCAACATGAAAGATATATGTATATCAAAAAGAAAATGTAAAACTAGCTGATGCCAGTTAACACCAGGCTTAATTGAAGCAGAGAATACCAAACATAACTGCACCAGCTAGGAGCACCAATGCAGTCATGTTCTTACCTGTCTGGGACAGAGATTATGGAGTTTCCAGGAAGAGTAGACAAGGTCTGAGAATCTGTGTAGCACCAGAAGACGAGACTTGATGGCTTCAATTGACATCTCTTTCAGGGATCCATACTGTGGAGGGACGGACTCTGGAGTGCCAAGCTGGAGAGGGGCAGGGGCACCAGGAATACGCTTGGGAGGGGGAGGGGCAGTCCATGCTGCACTGTGAGTTCGACCTGCTGAAATCTATAGAAATACAAATAAACATAAGCCATTTTGGACATTTAAGCATGTTCCCTGTTTTTTAAGTCAATCATCATAGACTTAAGAAACTGATATCTCACCTGTCTGATGTTCTTGGTTGCTAGTCCAGTTATCTGCTGTGGTTCTCTAATGGAGTTGGTGTGTCCAAGACCAAGCTGCCCATCAGAGTTATTCCCCCATACCCACACTTCACCCTTAGAGGTGAGGGCAATGGTGTGGTCAGAGCCAGTCTGAATGTCCGTCACAAAGTGACCACACAAAGCACTCACACACATAGGTATGGTGTGGTTTCTGCACCTTGCATCACTCTGTCCTATCAATCGATCTGCGGGTAAAAGTTCAATATATCTGTCACCAGTGTTTGCAATACTTTAACTTGCCAGTCGGCCATCAGGGCCTGCAAATATTTGAAACTGCCGGTGATTCCGAACGCTCTCTGTCACACACATATATACAGAAACCAACAGAGATTTAGTGGTCGTGAACTTCTACATCCCACATGCACAGAAATTTAAAACAAATGCACAAAAACTCCATCAAAGAATCCATCCAGTGGTAAGCAGAAAATTTGAATAAATGTGTAAACTTGAAAACTAAGATAAATATATCTAAAATTTGATAGGACTTAAAATTACTTTCAATATGTAGTCATTATACAAATACAATGTTCAATGTTTCATGATCTTCTATTAAAGTAGGATAATTCCTGATATTATACAGATAATCCACCAAATGTTCCAAAATACAAACAATAATTAATAGTCTACCTTGGCCCCAAGTGAAGACTGTTCCATTCTTAGTGAGAGCCATGGAAAACTGTGCTCCACAAGCCACCTTCTTCACATTGACACTGTCCAGGGCTTCTATCTTGGTGGGGAGAGACTTGGACAGCGTGTTGCCTAGACCTAGTTTGCCGTAATCCCCATCACCGAAAGACCACACTGACATACCGTCAACAGACACACACAGAGTGTGATTCAGTCCACATGCAACCTGTCCGAGAACAAAGACAAATGTTGGATAGTCCTAACTGCTGAAGTCAAAGTGAGGGGGTGAGTTGGGGGTAACACTGCTTGTTCACAATTTCTGTTACTTCTTGGCATGTCAACAGTGTGTGAGACGAAAAGAGCCGAAACATGGAAAATTTCATCTACATTGGTACTCTATTGACGAAAATAGCATCATGGTCGGAGTGAGCATGGGATCGAACCTATGACATTGATGTGATGAGCAAACACTTTATCCACTAGGCTACCACACCGGCCCCTGATGATAAGAATTCATCCTATGTACCTAATACATTTCAAAAATCAGCAAAACAGTGTAACTTTACATATGTTACCTAAATAACTACATTAGAATTTCCACTCTTGATGCTTAATACATAGATAAATAAGAAACTCACAAAGCCTACGTGGTGTCCCTCTAAGGCTATGACCCTCTCTGGGAGTTTCTTGTTGGAAGTAGATCCATGTCCAAGTCTCCCATAATCACCATTACCAAACGTGAACAGCTTACCATCTGCTGTCACTACTGCACTGTGCTTGAACCCACAGGCTATCTGAAATGTGAAATATTTGACTGTCCACAAAGCCCAAAATGTTGTGTGCTTTCCAAATAATGTTTTCGGGCATTAATACTAATTTCATGACTGACAGTTTTCAAGTTTGTTGTTTCAAAGTGTTTTACCTGCACCACCTCCTCAGCCTGAAGGGCTTCTATCTGTCGTGGCCTCTTCTGTCTGTCACTGTTACCATGGCCCAGTTTACCATAGTCACCATCACCCCAACTGAACACCTCCCCACTCTCTGTGAGGGCCAGACTGTGACCATCGGAGCCAACTGACGATGCCAGCAGCATGCTCACAAAGCCTACAGCGAGAAACTGGCTGATAAAGACTGAACTATCTACTGACATTACTGATGGAATTATACCAGAACTGAGTATCCCTGCTTTTTCTAATGCCAGCTATATCTTAACTACATTTCAACAGACCCTTATGTCCAACACAAGAAATATACAAGCATACAAACTTAAACATGTTCCAAAAACTGTGTCTAAGAGCCCCAGGTTTTCTCTCCTTTTCTTTCTTATTCTTCAGATATTACTACCAACAGGCATGCTTTCATTGGCCAATTTTACTTTAAATAAAGATATTGTGCTTGACTCTGACTTTAAACAAGAGGATAAAATAATGAACAGCTGAGGTACGATGCTCCTGGAGGAAAAACATGACAACAGGTAGTCGGACTGTCATATTCTTAGTAACATATAGTAATGGTGCTCCAGTACTATGCTCAACCTCGGCATGGGCAGTCAGTAATTCCTTCAATAAAGGGTAGACAAAATCCTGCATATATTCAAGAAAGTAGCACCCCACACATGTACTGAGAACACTAGTGTAATAAGTACCCTGCAAGGCTGAGATGATGGTGAGTGTGTGGGTGTCATCAGAGTTGCCCTGTCCCAGGCGACCGTAACTCCCCTCCCCACATGCTAGCACTGTCCCGTTGGCCTGGATAGCAAATGTGCAGTTCTGACCACAAACAATCTGCAAAAAACAAATTCATGGTCAATTATGAATATTATCTCACTTGTCCAAACACAAAGTTTCTTTAAGGAGTAGAGAACACAGCAATCAACAACTGACTTCTGTAAAGAATTCTGTTTTCATGCAGGATATACATGCAACAGTAGGAGGAGAGATTAAGAGTGACACTTAACTCGCTGTTCTGCAACTTAAAAAAACAATTTAAATAATATTTTGCCAATGGAGAGCAAGCTCTAGTAACTTGGAACCAGCCTGCTGGTATGAATATTGATATGCAGTGAAAGTAGTGGGGTTGCACTAATGTAGCATGTTGTTTGGTAAATTAGCAGACACAATTGAACACTATCATATAATGCAAAGGGCAGGTAAACCCTGAAAGTGTTATAATCCCAAGTGTTGTAATCCAAAATATAACATATGTTACATTTGACCACATTCTAAATGATACTGTATATTCATTGTAATACTTACTTGCTGAGCACATGAGAAAGATGGCACTTTTACTGGGGCGAGACAAGATCTCCCTCCCTCACACATCTGTCCATGTCTCCCACTGCCCCAGGTGAAAACCTCACATCGCCCTCCTACTTGCCAGTCTTCTGGACGGTGGGTCACCCAGGACATAATCTGACTGTCCTTGTTTAAGTCCCACAGTGTGTTGTCCTGATTGCCCAATAGATCATACACAAATTATCACAACAAATTGTTCATATGTTCAAATTCATTGAATGTCTAATCATTATTAAACAATTTGTTTTTCTTAGTCATTAAGATTTTATCACCAGTGAATTACATGTGATGAGAAGATAACTATAGTTAAGTTGTATTGTGATACAAATGTACCACACTTAAAGGACTAGTTGCCATATTACTCACATAACCAACACAATTGGAGTCTTCAGAGTCTCTTTTAAGTATTTTGAAGGTTTCGGGGATGGGCTTCCTGCTAGCAAGGGCAGCTGATGTTTTGAGAGTGGTGGAATAGGTGAGAAGCCATTGCCATTCTGACACTAGGTTGTTGTGGGCTGTGGACAACAAGGTAATAACTGGCTACTGGGAAAGTCGAAAGCCACATCTTATGGATGAGGCAAGTAGACAGGAAGCAATGTAAACATATCAGTTAAGCTCCATGATATCAGGAAAAAATATCAAACACATCAAAGTGTTGTACAGTGAATACTTTATGCTGGGAATGAGGATGGTGGTTCTAAGCTACTTTTAGCAATGTCCCAGTAATGTGAATGTGGAGAAACATCAAGAATTTCCTCTGTGTAAGTGCACCTAAGTAGAATGCACAACCAGATCAAATTGAAACAGCCAGGCTCAAATTCTTTATTGAAAAGAAAACTGGTGTAAATAGTCAGTTGGAGTATATATTAGTATATCATTCAGTATATCCTTTACCAGATAGATGAAATCCAAATGCATTGCATTTTTTTGGCATTATCAGATAATCTAGGATTAAAACTAACATCAAGCATATTCTGAAAACAAGGACATAGTCTTTGGCACAAAATGACCACCACCATAATGGACCTGTAAGGGAGATGGTACATCTTGTCAGTGATAATGAGAGATAGCATATATATACACCTGTACAGTCATCAAGACGATTCACTTGTTTTCCCTTACCTGTTTCCTGTGTGTAGTGGTGCAGTGGCTGTGGAGAGAAGCACAAAGCCTTGTCTAGGGACAGTCCGACGGCAAGGGAGGCAAGACACTGGAGGTACAGGCTGTGGATGAGCTGGTCACCAGCCAGGATCACAGGCTGAAACACAAGGTATACTGATTCACCCCACATATTGACAGTATACTTCAGAACTCCAGCAATAGAATGACAGCAGACAGCAATATACACGGTATACTGATTCACACCACATATTGACAGTATACTTCAGAACTGCAGCAATACAATGACAGCAGACAGCAGACAGCAATATACACGGTATACTGATTCACACCACATATTGGCAGTATACTTCAGCAATAGAATGACAGTAGACAGCAATATACACGGTATACTGATTCACACCACATATTGACAGTATACTTCAGCAATAGGATGACAGCAGACAGCAATATACACGGTATACTGATTCACACCACATATTGACAGTATACTTCAGCAATAGAATGACAGCAGACAGCAATATACATGGTGTACTGATTCACCCCACATATTGACAGTATACTTCAGCAATAGAATGACAGCAGACAGCAATATACACGGTATACTGATTCACACCACATATTGACAGTATACTTCAGAACTGCAGCAATACAATGACAGCAGACAGCAATATACACGGTATACTGATTCACACCACATATTGACAGTATACTTCAGCAATAGAATGACAGCAGACAGCAATATACATGGTATACTGATTCACACCCACATATTGACAGTATACTTCAGCAATAGAATGACAGCAGACAGCAATATACATGGTATACTGATTCACACCACATATTGACAGTATACTTCAGCAATAGAATGACAGCAGACAGCAATATACATAGTATACTGATTCACACCACATATTGACAGTATACTTCAGAACTGCAGCAATACAATGACAGCAGACAGCAATATACACGGTATACTGATTCACCCCACATATTGACAGTATACTTCAGCAATAGAATGACAGCAGACAGCAATATACATGGTATACTGATTCACCCCACATATTGACAGTATACTTCAGAACTGCAGCAATAGAATGACAGCAGACAGCAGTAACAGGTTAACACACTGTACACACCCACAGGAATTGAACCCCATTTTTCCTTGCTGACTTACTGTGATTAATACAGGTCAGACCACAAATCTAGAGCATACACAACAATCATACAAAACTGCAGTTAATTAGTTTTAGAGTGTAATGTATACTACCTTTTCATGGAGGTACTGCTCCTGAAGCATGCTTGGTAGTCTTTGGAGCATTCCACGGAAACATGGTGCCTGATGCAATCCTGTGATTCCTCGCAGTTTGAGAGCACGACGAGCCACAGCAACAACACGGTTCTTGGTGAACAACTCTGGGGTGTAGTGGATGTTACTTATATCCTTTTAAAAAGATGCAGTGAGAATTGATTTAATCACACAACTGATATAAATATGAGAACATCCTGGTTGTACATTAAAAAGCTGTCGATTGCTACTTCAGACAGTCGTGCCCCGTTTATCCAGACACTTGTGTTTTTCTTAAAATTGTCCGGATAAACGAAGTTTCGGATTTCTGAACATAGGACCATACGTAAATAGACATACAAAGAAACGAACATAATAGGTCTCAGACATAATCTTTATTGATAAGACATCAATAAATAACAATGCAAACATAAAATCACATCTTGTCAAATACATGTACAGTAGTCAAGTCAATAACATGTGCGATCATACCTGTACATGCAGTTATGCTCGCTTGAAGACATGGATCAAAGCTTTTTGTAACGGCTTTGTAGAAACGTTTCAATAACAGTTCGAGGGAAAGAGAGGAGAAGAAAGGGAGAGAGAGGAGGAGGGAGGTGGCGGCTGCCCAACTTCGTCATCATCATCATCATCATCATCATCATCATCATCATCATCATCATCATCATCATCATCATCATCAGTCTCGCTGTCAGGGCACACTGCCTGCAGGATGTCAGTGTCACTCAGAGATTTGCCAGTCAGTTCGTCACCCAGAGATTCGCCAGTAAGTTCGTCACCCAGAGATTCGCCAGTCAGTTCGTCACCCTGAGATTCGCCAGTCAGATCGTCACTCAGAGATTCGCCAGTCAGTTTGTCACCCTGAGATTCGCCAGTCAGATCGTCACTCAGAGATTCGCAGTCAGTTCGTCACCCTGAGATTCGCCAGTCAGATCGTCACTCAGAGATTCGCCAGTCAGTTCGTCACTGTCGATATTCACAAGGTCGTCAGCAGTAACAGACACAGATGCAACTTGCGCATAGGACCGTAGTGCATCATGAAGTTCCAACAAGGCCATGTCTTCTTCTGGGTCTTAATTTGATTGAATGATATCGACATGGCAAAAGCAGTTAGCGATTGTCTTTTCGCTCATAGAGGTCCAGGCTTGCTTGATCATCCGGATTGAAGTGCGTAAGGTGACTGCTGGATTCTCGTTTGTGTCTCACAACGAGCTTGCGGTAATGTGCTTTGAAAGCACCGATGATTCCTGCATCCATCGGCTGAATGTGTGCAGTCATGTTGGGCGGCCGGAAGTGCAATCTGACATGTGTCAACTTCACATTGGGGGTGTGGCTGGCTGCATTGTCCATCAATAATATAACACGCCTACCTCTCAATCTCATCTGTCTGTCAAATGCTAGCAACCAATCACGAAACAGTTCTGATGTCATCTATTTCACATTGTTCCTGTACCTAACATAAACGTCCAGATTAAAGTCCATGATACCTATGCTATCGCCAAAACTTCTTTTCATTAACAGGCAAATTTCGACTGGTCACAGACAGACAACGCTTCTGATCAAACAACAGTTTATCAGCATAATTATAGTGACCCACAAATTGACACGCCTCAAAAGCAACTCAAAATTAATTCAGTGTCACCTTGCTAATTACAGGTAGTTAATCCTCTCACGCTTCAAAGACTACCGACTTCTTTTAAGTTAATGCACACAAGGCCACTTGGTAAAATGCATGTGTAAACATACTGAAAGGTGCTCAGACATCCGGATACACAAGAAAATGCACATAATTTAGCGTTTTGTATATGAAAATGACAGTCCGATTACGGAATGCGGATTTCCGGATAAGTGAGTAATTTTACAACGTTGAGAATTCGTTTTAAGGAATTTTCATTCGGAAGGCGAGTTTTCCGGATATCTGAAGTTCGGATAAACGGGGCATGACTGTACTCACTCTTTACAAAAACTGTTGGCTTATATGAATCTTACTGAGAATCTACTAATGTATCTGACCTTTGATCTGCTGAAGCACACAGCGAGACTGCGATCGGCAACCCACGAGATACTCTTTACCATACCACTGCCAGTCTGAGTTTGTAGCAAGCAGCCATCCTACAATACAGACATCTAATATTAAACTTCTTAAACATATGAGGAGAAACTATAAAACAAATCAGTCTGAGAGACCCCTGCAAATTAGGGAATGTAGTTAAACAAAGTATCTACCATTTGAACTTGCACCAGCAATGAAATATAGGCAAACAATAACACATAAATTCTAATGACCTTAACAGCTAGTTTAACATGGGCATATTGGTTCAAGCAATAAAGCCACCTACCTGGAGAGACCAGATGTTAACCCATCCCTTGCCACAACCACTAGCTATCATGAGACCACTGGAGCTGAAGGCTATGGCGGTCACCCCTGTGAGGTGCCCCATCAGCATCTGGCAGGGAGTCAGGGGGGAGTGAGGCTGTGTGCCCTGGCTTTCCTCCCTGCTGTCACTTGAACTGGATGAAAACTGAAACATGAAAACACAGGAATATCAGATATCGACAATCACTTAGGGAATAAACTACAGGAAGCTTACTGAAGTCAGTATTGAAGGACATGAGCAGCTCTTCAGTTGGGCCCAGCAATGGTCCATGTTTTAGACATCATATATTTAGGTAATGGCTTGGGTTGGTTTGTTATTATGGGCTGGTTGTAAATGGCAGAGAAACATAGTGACACAAATCTACCAATGCACAAACGCTCATTGGTCTTTTCTTATTGTTAGCAAGAAGGACAGAACGAAACCAATGACTTATAGGTCAGGTGGATAATGTACAACTGTGCACAAGAAAAAACACATCCTCAAAGTATGTTCAAAGTATTTTTAACATTGCAACTGGTTGAAAAGTAAAAGAAAAATTTCAATTAAAGAAATCAAATTTAAAGAATCCAGTACCTCATTCCTGTCTGTTGAGTGATGTTTGACTGCGAAGGGTGAGATGTGGACCTCCACGTTGGATGGCTGAGGGATTTCCCACAGATACACACCTCCATCCTCACACCCACTGGTATAACAATATGATAGAATACATCAATGGTGTTCTCTTTACAAAAAAATACCATTCATGTTTCACAATGTAAACAATATGTGACATCTTAAATTCTAGTATGTACATTTTTGTTCTACGTTTATAACAAACAAACTTCACTTGGCATGTTTGGTAACATGGCAAGGAGAAACAGTTTATTTGTTATACACATATGTGTAATAAAGGAGTTGCTTTGCATACAATACTCTTGTCAGGTTCATTACAACTTGTATGCTTATAAAGACTTTCAAGTTTGAATGACTTTTGATTAATCAAAAGTTCATGGCATTTTAGAACACTACTATTCTAAGAAACAATGACCAAACTTGATTTGTTTCCATGGAAATATGTTAAACCTGACAAAGTAACTGGAAACAGCATACTGTGTGTACTAACTGGGTTTCATGTAATATACTAATGCTGTGAGAGTATGGCAAGTCCTCACCCTGCTATGAGTAGCCTCTTGTTGTCTCCAGACCCCAGGGTAGAACACCACTCTATGGAGCAGAGAGAAGAGGGGTGGGTGAGACTCCATATACAGGTCAACCCTTCACCACTCGTCTTCCACACCTTCATGTTGCGTTCATTCACTGCACATGTCACCAGCACATGGCCTGTTGGGTCCCACTTCATCACAAGCACAGAATTCTGAAAGGAATATCATGCAGTAAAAACTGTTGTCTTCATTGAGCCTGAACATCAAAAATACTGCATTAATTATGGTAGTCATACTTTCTGGGTGTTTTTGTTAGGAACATCTACATATATAAATGCATCTACAGTATTATTCTGAATATATTTTCTGAACAATTACACAGAGAATCATGTCTTCCAGACTGTTAAACTTTTTCATGCATTAGATTCAGTGCTGAAGAGTTAAGTCACTGTGGCCGTCTCGGTTTTGGGGTTAAATTATTATGCTAAATTATCACATAGTGGGTTGGGTAGTGTAAGGCATTTGGGCGGGCGGCTGACCTAGCACCTACCTTTTTAGTCCTTTAATGTAGTGGCTTATGGCCATGCGGGCCTGGTGACCGGGAAGACCAGGCGATGTCACGCTTCTTGCATGCTCCGCCATCCTGAGGGGCAGAGATGTAAGGAGCGTGCGCATTGTGTTTCTCCGGTCACATGGCCGCCATGTTGGCTATATTAGCCTACCCTAGGTAGGGAATCGTCAGTCGTCTCGTACCTGCATCGGGTAAGTTATCTAGCGACTACCGTGTCTTGTACCAAGACCACATTAGGTTTCCAATTCATTTTTGTTTTTCAAGGAGATATATTCATTTAGTGACAGCTGTGGGAGGGGGAGAAATAGATAAGGAACGAGTAAGTTATTTTGTTGATAAATAATAAAAATAAATATAAACACTTGTATAGCCTTGTTTCCAGTATAATCAACTGCTCAAAAGCGCTTGTGAGCAATGAACTGTCCTGGGAATACACAGGCTAACAGTAGCAGACTTTAAACAAATGAATGATTCAAACTCAGGGGCACTTCATATTTCAAAAGCTTCAAAAGAACGTAGAGTTCTCTCAGGTTTGTATTCTTGGATGAGTTCAGAAATGTATGGAGGATAGCACGGAATGTCAGAGTCAGCCCTTTAAACTTGATTCTGTTCTCAACTTTGAGCCAGTGGAGATCTCTCAGGATTGGGGTGATATGTACTGATCTTCTGGTTCTCTTGATTAGTCTTGCGGCAGAATTCTGGACTTTCTGAAGTTTAAAGACAAGACGTTTTGGCAACCCGGGAAGAAGGGAGTTGCAATAATCCAGATGGGAGATTACACAGGCTTGAACGAGCAAAGCTGTTTTTTTTGTTGCTGGTAAACTGTCGTATCCGACTGATGTTTCGGATATTCATGTAAACCTTTTTGGAGACCCGGCTTACATGGCAATCAGCACTGAGTGTGGAATCAAACATGACACCAAGATTTCTAGCCTCCTGGCTAGGTTCGATGACACAAGATGACAACTTAAGAATGGGAAGTGTTGACTTTGGTCTCATGGCTTTTGATGTAATCACAAGCATCTCAGTCTTTTCCTCATTCAGCTTTAAGAAATTCATGGTCATCCAAGTCTTGGTGTCTTCTGTGCACTCTGCAATTCTGGAGAAGGCAGTATTGATTGAGGTTTTATCCTTCGGCTTGAATGATAGATACAGCAGTGTATCATCTGCATACAGATGAAAGCAAAAATTCGAACTAACCTGTAGAGGTTTCAGATTCTTTGAATATATTCCTCCTTGGGGTACTTATAAGCATTTAAATGTCCATTTAAATTCCCTACGACAGTTGTAACAATATTTGAATAAAAATATTTACAAAACAAAAACTACGTTTTGTCTTGTGAGACCACCCTTACAGGGCCCTCCGGCCCCCTACAGCCAAGAGCAGGTAACTCTAGACCGTAACCTCGTACCTCACTTTCCATGCTGAACCACGTCAGACAGAATGTGGGGAAGTGGGCGGGCGTACCCCAAGGAGGAATATATTCAAAGAATCTGAAACCTCTACAGGTTAGTTCGATTCTTTTTTATATATTCCTCCTTGGGGTACTTATAAGCATAAGACAGACTCCTAAAGACGGAGCTAAGGAGCGGCATTCTGTCTGCAGAAAACACCCCGACAAGAAGTGGAATTTCCCAAGCTAAATATAGCAGAAAAAGCACACTTACCCGTCACGGTCCACCATAGCCAATCAGGCGGGGCATGAGCCAGGGTCAGGGTCGAACATATGTAAATTGCCCAGCTAAAACCTCGCTAATGCAAACTAACGAGACACAAAAAGCCACCAGAAACGAAATGCCTTAATATATATATATTTAGCAAAGTTTCCAAGGCCAGTTAAGTCTAGAGCAGAATGCAAAAAGACATGGGAATAAAACCATCACCACATAAAACCCAATACCAAGGGAATATGTAAACAAGATTTTAAAACCCAACACCAGTGTTAAAAAAATTTGGCATAGAATGGTTCACATAATAAAATCCTAAAGCTCAATCGGCTAGAGAGGTGGAACCATGCCCACTGGAGAGAACTGACTGACCGAACCGAAAGCGCTTCACTGGAGAGTCTGTCAAGTTGGTAATGACGGATGAACGCATCTCGGATGGCTCCAAATAGCCGCTGAGCAGATCTCCTCAACGGGCAGGGCTGCAGCGTAAGCTTCGATGTAGCAACTGCCCTAACCGAATGAGCTTTCAACCCTACAGGCGGGATACGCCCTGTTTGAGTATAGCTCATATGTATGGCAGAGACAAGCCACCGAGAAATGGTTTGCTTGGTCGCCGGAAGACCAGCCTGAACCCCGCCATAACACCAAAACAATTGGTTACCCTCACGGGTACCCCTTGTTCGTTTGATATAAGCCTTAAGTGTCTTACGGACATCTAAGACGTGAGCACGTCGTAGAGAGGTACCGGACAGGGAAGGCTGAGTGAAAGCTGGGAGCTCAATAGACGCCGTCACATGGAAGGGACTATCCTTCTTAGGACATTGCGTGAATATCGCCAACCCGCCTGCCTGAAGTCACCGCCACAAGAAACGCCGTCTCCCAGGTCAACAGCTGGAGTGAAAGAGCTGACAGATTGTGAAACAGTGGACTGGACAGCCAATCAAGAACGATTGACAAGTCCCACGGGGGACTAATCCGCCGGACAACCGGACCGATTCTGTCCACGCCTGCTAAAAAGCGCTGCACAAGAGGGTGCTGCCCCAAGAGAGCACCGTCAACAGGAATATGAAACGCAGAAATAGCCGTAGAATATCCTCGAACAGTTGAAGCCGCTAGACCGGCGTCCAACCGAGACTGGAGGAATTCTAAAACACAGACTAAATCTGTAGAAAAGGGATCAAGAATCCCCCTGTTGACACACCAGCGCGAATAACAGGCCCATCTATCCTCATATTGAACGTTTGTCGAATCCCGGCGCGATCCCTGACAGCGGCCAAGCCACCCACTGAATCCTGGGATTCGGGGGGGGCGCTCCGTTCTGGGATAGGAGGTCCGGTCGAAAAGGTAATAGAACAGGAGGCTGAGCCAGAAACCTGAGAATTACCGGAAACCAGCGTTGTGCCGACCAAAGGGGTGCCAGAAGCACAAGTAGCCGAGCTGGTTGTGCGGTCAGCTGTGACAGGACCCTGGAAATCAGTGGTATTGGGGGGAACGCCCACAGTACCCTGTCCGTCCAATCGAGCTGAAAGGCGTCGTTGGCTAACGCTCCCCGATCCGAATCGGGAGCAAAACACAGGAATCTGGTTCGTCACCCCAGACGCAAACAGATCCACCTGAACGACCGAACAACTGGGAGATATCCGAATATCTCCCGGTCGAAAGCATCCACTGTGTGGGCTAGTATATCGCCGCGGAGAGTGCATCTGCACGGACGTTGTCTACCTCCGGGAGATAAACAGGCAAAACCCGAATGCTGAACTGATCGCACCACAGTAGAAACTGCCACGCCTCCTGAAGGAGCGACGGAGACACTGTGCCGCCTTGCTTGAGAATGTAAGACATGGCCGTTTGATTGTCCTTTTCTAGACGAACCACACGGCCCTGCACCAACACCCGGAAGCACTCGAACACCCTGCGGACTGCTCTCAGTTCTAACACATTGATGTGTAGGCTGACTTCCCGCTCCGACCAGAGGCGGAGGCTGAGTGCTCGCCCAGGACAATCCCTAGCTCCGTGTTGAATCTGGCCCCCAAGAAAATCAGATCCTGCGGAACGAGGTCTGATTTCTTGAGGTTGATAATCCAGCCCAGTGACACCAGAGTATCCATCACGCACAGTGTGGAGGCTCTGCTTAACTGAGGACCTAAGGCCCTGAGAAGCCAATCGTCCAGGTACTGGTGACAACACCTGCCCTGAGACCTGGCTAACTGAGCTGGGATTAGCATAAGTTTGGTGAACACCCTTGGCGCCGTGGAGATGCCGAAGGGGAGCACACGAAACTGGTAGCACGTCCCGTCGAAGGAGAACCGGAGGTACTTCTTGAACTCGGGTGCATTGGAACATGGAGGTATGCCTTTGAGATCGATTGACGAAGCCAATCCCCTGTCTCGACGGAGGAGATCACTGACCTGAGTGTCTCCATCCTGAAAGACGGCACCTCCAGTAACTGGTTCAACCCTCTGAGATTCAGAATGGGTCTGAACCTCCGGCCCTTTTGGTCACTAGGAAGTAGGTGGAATAAAACCCCTCTCCTTGCTGACCCACAGGAACCACTCGATGGCTGCCTTGTTCAGTAAGGACTGAACTTCGCACGGAGCTGCCCCGCTTTGTCGCGGGAGGTCGGCACAGGCGCAGCCAACCCCGAGAAGGACGGAGGATCTCGCCCACTGTGGCAAATGGCCATCCCTGAGCGTGGACAGGACCCAGGGATTTGAGGTGGCTGCCTCCCACCCCGGAGGAATAGGGACAACCGCCGACAGGGACGGTGGCATGAGGCAGTGCACCCCCACAGTCGGCAAGTCTCCGCCATGGAGTGGGGGGGCAATAAGGGCTCTGGGGAAGTAATCAGCGGGAAGCCGGGCTGGCTTCCCCTGCCCCGGTGCTGCTGCTGCGCTTTGAGCAGGCCTGCCCTTGCCTCTTGGCGCGCCTGTTCGCTTTGACTGCAAAGGGCAGTCCACTTTGCAGCCGCCCTTC